CCCTCCGCCTGCCCCACTATAGACACAGCAACAACATAGTGGCGTACGCATCGCACCACATCATGCTCGATGGCGACGACTCATATGACATATTCCTGCATGTCCTCATATAGAAGACACGTGTACTAAAACATGATACTAAGCACCAGTATATAATGTAATATGATGAAGTGGTTCACAGCGAACGTCAGGGGACGCCGATGCCTCCGACCTACGCGCCGACGCCGGCGCTTCCGACCTACGCACCGACGCTGGCGCCTCCGTCCCACGCACTGACGCCCGCGCCGACGGCTGCGCCGACTCCGGTGCTTCCGACCTAGGCGCTGACTCCGGCACCTCCGACCTACGCGCCGACGCCGGCGCCGACGGCCGCGCCGGGGACGCCAGCGCCGACGGCCTCGCCAACGGCCGCGCCGACGGCAGCGCCGACGGCCGCTCCGACGGCCGCGCCGACGGCCACTGCGACGCGTGCGCCGACGAGTGCACTGACAGCCGCGCCGACGCCGGTGCCTCCGACCCACGCGCCGACGCCGGCGCCGACGGCTGCGCCGACGCCGATGCCTCCGACCTACGCGCCGACCCACGCACCGACGGCCGCGCCGACGCCGATGCTTCCAACAAACGCGCCGACGCCAGCGCCGACTAGCGCCTTCACGCGTGATGACTATGATAACCGACCCGCCGCCGCGAGCTTTGGGAAGCGAGACGTCGTCGGCGCCACCTCGGCCATCATGTGCGCCCTCGCCGCAGCGCGGGCCTGAGCGCGAGCGATGCTGGAGGAGGTCTGACGCACCAGGGGGGGGGGAAGGGAGAGGAGAGGGATGGAAAGAGGGGCAGGGTCTTAGTAAAGACAAAATCGTCCCTGTTTGGGTGTTTTTTTCCGGCACTTCGTAGCTATCCCATTTCCAGCGCCGTGGAAACTCCATGGTTGGGCGCGCTTCTTGCGACCAAGACTTTGTCTGGCTTAATCAACTCAGCCAGACGCGTCCGGGCCTGCGACTCGCCAAAGACGGGCATACAAGTCTACAGATGGGGCGTTGCGGCAGGCCAGTGCACGGAGTTCTCGCCGCAGGGCTCCCGGGACCTTCGTGTATTTTGGGGCTTGTCCCTCCAGGTGCTCCTCGCCTTGATAAACCCAGGCAGCCGCCGAATATCGGCCTCGCTGCCGGGACGCAGCTTTGGCGCGGCGTTGCTCCTCGCGCGCCAGTCAGCCCCTCGCCACAAGCGTCGCGGAGGGCGTTGGCAGAGCTGCACAAGCGGGGCCGGATTGTGTGTATTTCGGGCCGTAAAACTAATGATATCAACATGACGATTGTTGCTTCGCCCCCAGGATCGAGCTCCGGTGTGTGCGCAGACCTCGGTCATGAGTTATGCTTTGGGCCTTTTGTAGAGCCTGAAATCCTGTTACAATACTCATTGGGCTCGGGGGCATCTTGGGAGCTTCCTGAGTGCATCCTTCCTCCGTGAGGTCTCTTGGAGGTCTCTTTGGGCGGCAGTCTGCTTTTCTGGTGCTTCGTGGAAGTCTCCTGGGGGAGGGCTCTTCGCGTTCCCCAATTTAGGGGGCCCTCGTGGGCCCATCTTGCCCCTCGGGGGCCTTACCTGGGCGTTGATTGCGTGCCTCTTGTGCCGTCTCGGGCGAAAGTCACGCGACGCACCCCGGGCCAATAATTCCGAGGACCCGAGAACACTCCACTCAGTTTCTCGCGGCACGGTGGCGTGCATAAAGAGAGAGGAATTCGAATCTCCGCTTGATCCTGCGGGCTCAGACTGCTTGGGGCCGACTTGGAACATTGGTCGTTGACCAGAGCACGGGGCTACTGCTTCGATCAGAGCACGATGCACTCGCTTAGATTTCAGCTAGGTGCTGGTATCAACCGAATCGCGTGGAAGTGGAATCGATGGCTTCTTGGGCGCACCATCACACTGGCATGGCAAGTCAAAGTCGCCGATCCCCGCCATCCTACGAACCTCCAATGTCCGCTGATTAGCACAACGCTCTATTCTAGACGCTTCGCGTAACCACACCAGCAGAGCGGACCCGACAAGTGGTACACCCTTTGCTCGACTGCCGACGATCCCCCTTCTGGTCCGCCCCTGCCCCCAGTTGACGCTCGCCACTTGACGCTCGCTCAATCGTGATGGATAAGCTGCCTGCGTTGTTCGCCGATGATTTGGTCCACCTCTCTCGGCGGGAGCCACCTTCGTGCTCCTGGTACTGCACAAGTGGTTCATCCTTTGGCAGTGTTCCAGCCCTCCTGCAGGGTGGTCCATGGCGCTCGGCCGTGCCTGCTGCTGCGTCCCCCCCGACACTCTGGGTCAGGCAGTCGCAGGTTTCGGACTCCGCGGCTGGGTCGACGTCTCCGTGCATTGGTCGGTTGCTCATGCCCGATCGCGCCCAGGAGTCCAAGTGAGTGAGGCGTTCCTCGGCTCCCCCTCTTCTGCCCGCGCGTGCTCTCGCCCCCGCCGCCTTTCCTTGCTCTCTCGCCTCCTCGTCGTGTGTGACGGTGCGGCCTCGCGGGCCCCCCGTGCTGCCACAGCGCAGCTTGGCTCACGCCAGTACGCGCTGGTCAGTACGGTTCGAGCTGGCGCCACAGTGCGACTTCTCCTCCGTCTGCTTCAGTCTGATGCTTGCGTCCCCGCTCCTGGGTCGCACGCATCTTAATGGGGGGCATGTTGCCTCTTGCAAGTGCACTTGTTGCATCGGCCCATGCGCCGTCGTAGCTAATTATCTCGCCCTGTGCCCCAGCCGCGCCCGTCCCGTTTTTCGGATATGTCCCTGGAGCCGTCTTTTATATATATATATATATATATATAAAAAAAAAAAAAAAAAATGCCAGCTGCATGTGCAGGTGCGAGCTGTCTGTCCGCCGACTCTGGCTGGCGGCGAATTCTCTTGCAAATTAGCCTCGCCCGTGGCCCGGACGTCGCCTCCGCTCCATGACCGTAGCCTCGGGGCCGCTGACCCAACAAGTAACCACACCAGCTGCCCAACTGGCGGTAGGCTCTGAGTGCGGGCTCGGCCGCTGTGCTTTAGGCTTGCGCGTTGCTAATTTCACAGGCCCGTGGCCCGGACCTCTCAGCTCGGCGACTGCGAATCCGCGTCCGCCCGCGACCCAAAAACACACACACACGCACACACACACACACACAAACGCACCAGCCCATCCAGAGACAATGCCCGGTCGAGCTGCCCTGATCAGGGATGTGGATGAGGATGCAGTGGAATAGCGGGCTGGGGAAGTCGTCGTGGAGGAGTTGGAGGAGGACGAGGAGGGGAAGGGGAAGGGGGAGGTGGAGGAGGGAGGAGGGAAGAGAGGAGGAAGGCGAGCAGATTGCCCAGAGGGCTCTCGGATGTCTCTCGGAGTCTCTTGCTTGAGAGCTTCCTGGGGAGTCTTGGTAGCCTCTTGGCGGTCCTGGAGGGCCCTTGGAGTGTCTGGGGTTTGGGAGCCTCTTGGGAACCTTTTGGGTGGTCTCTTTGCGCATCCTGGGCGCCTCTTGGGGCCCTCTTGGCGCACTCTTGGGAGCCTTGGGGGCCATGTTGGATCCACGTTGGAGGAGCTCGACCATGAAGGGGAGTGCACCAGATTAGCCTCCCCCCCCAAAGAGGTCCAGATGGGCCCCAAATTTACGACAGTCCGCGATTCCTACCTTCTCGCCGAGGCCTTCTTGGACGCTCCAACGGGTCGCGAAGCCCTCCGTCCAGGTCAAGGTTTGGGGGTAAGGGAACGCTCTAAACCACTCACGCCCTAAAGGGCTGTTGGGATTCACTGAGGTTGTTTGACGTTGGAGGTTTCGGCAATGAGTAGCGCGCGCTCGTGCGATGCATCACATAAGCCGGCCCGCTTCGCGCGGGCCCATGTGCGGCGGGCACCTGCCTCTGGGCTGGTGCAGACACAAGCGAGTTGACTTGCTTCGTAAAGCCCCGAGCATGTCTGAGCTGTTTTTATGGATCCGTATCGCGCACTGGCAGGCGGTTGATCGTCCGTTTTGCGAGGATTGTCCCACATGATATCTCCACGTCACGAGAATGACGCAACTGTTGGCTGTTGGCAGATTCGCACGGACTGACTCTGAGAGGAGGGGTGGTTTCGAATTCCTCAGTCTGAGAACCCGTTTGGAACATCCGGTGTTGAGGTTCGGTCGGGGAATCACGTCGGAGTCTAGAACATTTGTTGCTGTCAGGCAGGTGGGGTTGCCTTCAGCGCTCGTCTCGCCCAGGCCTGCTGGGCCACAACTGACTTGTTACATTCAACGCACTTGGGGATGGACCCGGGCGTGACGAGCGGAAGGGCCAGTCTCCGACCCTGGATGCACCACGTAGGAGACAGTTCTTTTCATCCCATGGCGATAGCAGGCGTGACCACTGGGTGGGGGGAAGGGAGAAGGGGAAGGGGCTGGTCACGTCACGATTCGCTCCGTCGCCGTGTAGGAATGCCTAGGGATGGCTCATTCCCACACGGCGCCAGCGCGAATAGTGACGTGACCAGGGGGGGGAGGGGGGGGGAGGGGCCAGTCACGAGCGTTCGCGGTTGTATCGCACCACGTAGTTTACACCACATCGCTTGGACCACATAGCCCACACATACACGGTGCAACAACTTGCTGTTTGGGGTCCACGCTGGCTGACATGTTTTCACGAGGGGTCACGGCCTCGGGAGCGCGGATCCATTGCTTTTTTCTGCGAGGAACTAGGGGGACGGCGCACGCGATTAAGCGTGGTGATCGAGCAGGGTTGTCATTAGAAGACTTGCAGATACCCAACCAGACAGCCCTTTACATTTAACGTGCTTCAACGTGCCATGGAGCACGGTGATGTTCAGAACTGAGGTATCGAAGGGACACGAGAAAGTTCAATTCAGCGCCTAGCAGCACTGTGGCGGATTAGCCGAGAGATACCAACATGACGGTCAGTAGCCTCTCGTGTTCAAACCAGCTGGCAAAGATATTGGCGACGGCATTTTGCAAAGCTTTAAGCGGGATCCCAAAGCGCTTGTGGGGCAATGGCTCCGATCAGTCGTGTCGCTGCCTTCTTAGCGCTCATTGTGAAGGTCAACGCCGACTTTCCTTGTGGTGATTATGACCTGTCGCCCGCAGCAGGCAACCCCGTGTGCGGTGTGGATCAATCAGCCTGTGACGAGACAATCTGTTGCGCAGCAGGGACGAGCGCCCCGACCTCTGCACCGACGCCCATGCCTCCGACCGATGCGCCGACGCCGGCGCCTCCGACCTATGCGCCGACGCCGGCGCCTCCGACCTACGCACCGACGCCGGCGCCTCCGACCTACGCACCGACGCCCGCGCCGACGGCTGCGACGGCTGCGCCGACTCCGGCGCCTCCGACCTACGCGCCGACGCCGGCGCCGACGGCCGCGCCGGGGACGCCAGCGCCGACGGCCGCGCCAACGGCCGCGCCGACGGCAGTGCCGACGGCCGCTCCGACGGCCGCGCCGACGGCCGCGCCGACGCATGCGCCGACGAGTGCACCGACAGCTGCGCCGACGCCGGTGCCTCCGACCCACGCGCCGACGTCGGCGCCGACGGCCGCGCCGACGCCGATGCCTCCGACCTACGCACCGACCCACGCACCGACGGCCGCGCCGACGCCGATGCCTCCGACCTACGCGCCGACGCCGGCGCCTCCGACCTACGCACCGACGCCCGCGCCGACGGCTGCGCCGACCCACGCACCGACGGCAATGCCGACGGCCGCACCGACGCCGATGCCTCCAACAAACGCGCCGACGCCGGCGCCGACTAGCGCCTTCACGTGTGATGACTACGACAACCTACCCGCCGCGAGCTTCGGGAAGCGCGACGTCGTCGGCGCCACCTCGGCCATCATGTGCGTCCTCGCCGCAATGTGGGCCTAAGCGCGACTGATGCAGGAGGAGGTCTGACGCACCACGGGGGGTGGGAAGGGGGAGGAGAGGGATGGAAAGAGGGGTAGGAGCTTAATAGAGACAAAATCGTCACCCAGTGGTCCCTGTTTTGGTGCTTTCCCTGCACCTCGTGGCTATCCCATTTCCAGCGCCATGAAAACTCCATGGCTGGGCACGCTTCTTGCGACCAAGACTCTGTCTGGCTTAATCAACTCAGTCAGACGTGTCTGGGCCTGTGACTCGTCAAAGACGGGTATACAAGTCTGCAGAAGGGATGCTGCGGCAGGCCGGTGCACGGAGTTCTCGCCGCAGGGCTCCCGGGATTTTCGTGCATTTCGGGGCCTGTCCTTTCAGGTACTCCTCGGCGAGGAATCCTCGCCTTGAGAGACCCAGGCAGCGGCCGAATATCGGCCTCGCTGCCGGGACACAGCTTTGGCACGGCATTGCCCCTCGTGCGTCAGCCAGCCCCTCGCCGCAGGCGTCGCAGAGGGCTTTGGCAGAGCTGCACAAGCGGGGCCGGACGAAGTATTTCGGGCCGAAAAATTGGTGTTATCAACATGCATGACGGTTATTGCTTCGCTCCCAGGATCAAGTTCTGGTGTGTGCGCAGCTTGGGGCTCTCTTGTAGAGCCTGAAAACCTGTTGCAATACTCATTGGGCTCGGGGGCATCTTGGGAGCTTCCTGAGTGCATCCTTCCTCCGTGAGGTCTCTTGGAGGCCTCTTTGGGCGGCAGTCTGCTTTTCTGGTGCTTCGTGGAAGTCTCCTGGGGGAGGGCTCTTCGCGTTCCCCATTTGGGGGCCCTCGTGGGCCATCTTGCCCCTTGGGGGCCTTACCTGGGCGTTTATTGTGTGCCTCTTGTGCCGTCTCGGGCGAAAGTCACGCGACGCACCCCAGCCCAATACTTCCGAGGACCCGAGAACACTCCACTCAGTTTCTCGCGGCACGGTGGCGTGCATAAAGAGAGAGGAATACGAATCTCCGCTTGATCCTGCGGGCTCAGACTGCTTGGAGCCGACTTGGAACATTGGTCGTTGACCAGAGCACGGGGCTACTGCTTCGATCAGAGCGCGATTCACTCGCTTAAATTTCAGCTAGGTGCTGGTATCAACCGAATCGCGTGGAAGTGTAATCGATGGCTCTTTGGGCGCACCATCACACTGGCATGGCAAGTCAAAATCGCCGATCCCCGCCATCCTCCGAACCTCCAATGTCCGCTGATTAGCACAACGCTCTATTCTAGACGCTTCGCGTAACCACACCAGCCCATCCAGAGACAATGCCCGGTCGAGCTGCCCTGATCAGGGATGTGGATGAGGATGCAGTGGAATAGCGGGCTGGGGAAGTCGTCGTGGAGGAGTTGGAGGAGGACGAGGAGGGGAAGGGGAAGGGGGAGGTGGAGGAGGGAGGAGGGAAGAGAGGAGGAAGGCGAGCAGATTGCCCAGAGGCCTCTCGGATGTCTCTCGGAGTCTCTTGCTTGAGAGCTTCCTGGGGAGTCTTGGCAGCCTCTTGGCGGTCCTGGAGGGCTCTTGGAGTGTCTGGGGTTTGGGAGCCTCTTGGGAACCTTTTGGGGGGTCTCTTTGCGCATCCTGGGCGCCTCTTGGGGCCCTCTTGGCGCACTCTTGGGAGCCTTGGGGGCCATGTTGGATCCACGTTGGAGGAGCTCGACCAAGAAGGGGAGTGCACCAGATTAGCCTCCCCCCCCAAAGAGGTCCAGATGGGCCCCAAACTTACGACAGTCAGCGATTCCTACCTTCTCGCCGAGGCCTTCTTGGACGCTCCAACGGGTCGCGAAGCCCTCCGTCCAGGTCAAGGTTTGGGCTTAATTAAGGGAACGCTCTAAACCACTCACGCCCTAAAGGGCTGTTGGGATTCACTGAGGTTGTTTGACGTTGGAGGTTTCGGCAATGAGTAGCGCGCGCTCGTGCGATGCATCACATAAGCCGGCCCGCTTCGCGCGGGCCCATGTGCGGCGGGCACCTGCCTCTGGGCTGGTGCAGACACCAGCGAGTTGACTTGCTTCGTAAAGCCCCGAGCATGTCTGAGCTGTTCTTATGGATCCGTATCGCGCACTGGCAGGCGGTTGATCGTCCGTTCTGCGAGGATTGTCCCACATGATATCTCCACGTCACGAGAATGACGCAACTGTTGGCAGATTCGCACGGACTGACTCTGAGAGGAGGGGTGGTTTCGAATTCCTCAGTCTGAGAACCCCTTTGGAACACCCGGTGTTGAGGTTCGGTCGGGGAATCACGTCGGAGTCTAGAACATTTGTTGCTGTCAGGCAGGTGGGGTTGCCTTCAGCGCTCGTCTTGCCCAGGCCTGCTGGGCCACAACTGACTTGTTACATTCAACGCACTTGGGGATGGACCCGGGGTGACGAGCGGAAGGACCAGTCTCCTACCTTGGATGCACCACGTAGGAGACAGTTCTTTTCATCCCATGGCGATAGCAGGCGTGACCACTGGGTGGGGGGAAGGGAGGAGCGGAGGGGGCTGGTCACGTCACGATTCGCGCCGTCGCCGCGTAGGAATGCCTAGGGATGGCTCATCCCCACACGGCGCCAGCGCGAATAGTGACGTCACCAGGGGGGGAGGGGGGGGAGGGGCCAGTCACGGGCGTTCGCGCGAATAATAGAAAAGGTGTGGTATCGCACCACGTAGTTTACACCACATCGCTTGGACCACATAGCCCACACATCCACGGTGCAACAACTTGCTGTTTGGGGTCCACGCTGGCTGACATGTTTTCACGAGGGATCACGTCCTCGGGAGCGCGGATCTATTGCTTTTTTCTGCGAGGAACTAGGGGGACGGCGCACGCGATTAAGCGTGGTGATCGAGCAGGGTTGTCATTAGAAGACTTGCAGATACCCAACCAGACAGCCCTTTACATTTCACGCGCCTCAACGTGCCATGGAGCACGGTGATGTTCAGATCTGAGGTATCGAAGGGACACGAGAAAGTTCAATTCAGCGCCTAGCAGCACTGTGGCGGATTAGCCGAGAGATACCAACATGACGGTCAGTAGCCTCTCGTGTTCAAACCAGCTGGCAAAGATATTGGCGACGGCATTTTGCAAAGCCTTAAGCGGGATCCCAAAGCGCTTGTGGGGCAATGGCTCCGATCAGTCGTGTCGCTGCCTTCTTAGCGCTCATTGTGAAGGTCAACGCCGACTTTCCTTGTGGTGACTATGACCTGTCGCCCGCAGCAGGCAACCCCGTGTGCGGTGTGGATCAATCAGTCTGTGACGAAACAATCTGTTGCGCAGCAGGGACAAGCGCCCCGACCTCTGCACCGACACCCATGCCTCCGACCGATGCGCCGACGCCGGCGCCTCCGACCTACGCGCCGACGCCAGCGCCTCCGACCTACGCACCGACGCCGGCGCCTCCGACCTACGCACCGACGCACGCGCCGACGGCTGCGCCGACTCCGGTGCCTCCGACCTACGCGCCGACTCCGGCGCCTCCGACCTACGCGCCGACGCCGGCGCCTCCGACCTACGCACCGACGCCGCGCCTCCGACCTACGCACCGACGCACGCGCCGACGGCTGCGCCGACTCCGGTGCCTCCGACCTACGCGCCGACTCCGGCGCCTCCGACCTACGCGCCGACGCCGGCGCCGACGGCCGCGCCGGGGACGCCAGCGCCGACGGCCGCGCCAACGGCCGCGCCGACGGCAGTGCCGACGGCCGCTCCGACGGCCGCGCCGACGGCCGCGCCGACGCATGCGCCGACGAGTGCGCCGACGGCCGCGCCGAGGCCGGTGCCTCCGACATACGCACCGACCCACGCACCGACGGCCGCGCCGACGCCGATGCCTCCGACCTACGCGCCGACGCCGGCGCCTCCGACCTACGCACCGACGCCCGCGTCGACGGCTGCACCGACCCACGCACCGACAGCAATGCCGACGGCCGCACCGACGCCGATGCCTCCAACAAACGCGCCGACGCCGGCGCCGACTAGCGCCTTCACATGTGATGACTACGACAACCTACAAGAAGCGAGCTTCGGGAAGCGCGACGTCGTCGGCGCCACCTCGGCCATCATGTGCGTCCTCGCCGCAGTGTGGGCCTGAGCGCGACTGATGCAGGGGAGGAGAGGGATGGAAAGAGGGGTAGGAGCTTAATAGAGACAAAATCGTCACCCAGTGGTCCCTGTTTTGGTGTTTTCCCTGCACCTCGTGGCTATCCCATTTCCAGCGCCATGAAAACTCCATGGCTGGGCACGCTTCTTGCGACCAAGACTCTGTCTGGCTTAATCAACTCAGTCAGACGTGTCTGGGCCTGTGACTCGTCAAAGACGGGTATACAAGTCTACAGAAGGGATGCTGCGGCAGGCCGGTGCACGGAGTTCTCGCCGCAGGGCTCCCGGGATTTTCGTGCATTTCGGGGCCTGTCCTTTCAGGTACTCCTCGGCGAGGAATCCTCGCCTTGAGAGACCCAGGCAGCGGCCGAATATCGGCCTCGCTGCCGGGACACAGCTTTGGCACGGCATTGCCCCTCGTGCGTCAGTCAGCCCCTCGCCGCAGGCGTCGCAGAGGGCTTTGGCAGAGCTGCACAAGCGGGGCCGGACGAACTGTGTGTATTTCGGGCCGAAAAATTGGTGATATAAACATGACGGTTATTGCTTCGCTCCCAGGATCGAGCTTTGGTGTGTGGGCAGACCTCGGTCATGAGTTATGCTTGGGGCCTCTTGTAGAGCCTGAAAACCTGTAGTCATACTCCTCTGGCATCGGGGGCATATTGGGAGCTTCCTGAATGCATCCCGACGAGATTTGTGTACTCCGGGCCAAATGATATATACATACACACACATATACATACATATATATATATATATATATATACACATATAACGGCGCACCGGGTCCGGGGGCCCGGGGCCGGGACCTCGACCACAAATGTGGGCCCCGGGGGGCCCGGAGGCTCGTCGGACCGCCGGACGCCGTCCAAGATCGTTCGCAGGCGGCTTCGGAACGCGCTCCGATGGCTCCAGATGCCTTCCAAGACGCCTGTCATGACACCAAGAAGGTCCCAGAAGCCTCCAAGACGCTCCGAGAGGCAGCCCAAGAGAGGCCCAAGAAGCAAAAATCGTGCCATTCCTATGGGAAAAGCGTATATGTTTCGCATGTTCGCCTCTTGGGCTTTCACCGCGTCCAAGACGGCCCAAGAGGCGCCCAAGACGGTCTACGAGGCCTCCGGGAGCGCTCCAAGGCTGCGCACGAGTGGCCCAGGACGGCCCCAAGACGGCCGAAGAGAGCCCCAAGACGAGTTCGAGAGGGGTCCCAGACGGAGAAAGCCAACCTCGAATTCCGAGCTTCCGGCCCAAGAGGCTCCAGGAGGCGCCAAAATGCCGCCAAGAGGCGCCAAAAGGCTCCCAAAAGCACCCCAAGACGTTCCGAGAGGCACCCCAAGAGAGGTCCAAGAAACAAAAATCGTGCCATTCCTATGGGAAAGCGTATATTTTTCGCATGTTCGCATCTTGGGCTTTCACCGCGTCCAAGACGGCCCAAGAGGCCTCCAAGACGGCCTAGGAGGCCTCCGGGAGCGCTCCAAGGCTGCGCACGAGTGGCTCAGGACGGCCCCAAGACGGCCCAAGAGAACCCCAAGACGATTTCGAGAGGGGTCCCAGAAGGAGAAAGCCACTCTCGAATTCCGAGCTTCCGGCCCAACATATCCCAGGAGGCGCCAAAACGCCGCCCAGATGCGCCAAAAGGCTTCCGAAATCAGCCCAAGACGTTCCGAGAGGCACCCCAAGAGAGGTCCAAGAAACAAAAATCGTGCCATTCCTATGGGATATCGTATATTTTTCGCATGTTCGCATCTTGGGCTTTCACCGCGTCCAAGACGGCCCAAGAGGCCTCCAAGACCGCCCCAAGACGGCCCAAGAAGCTTCCAAGAGGGCCCCAGGACAGCCCAAGAGGGCCCCAAGACGGCCCAAGAGGCGCCCAAGATGGCCCAAGAGGGCCCCAAGACGGGCCCAAGAGGGGGCCCAGAGGGGGACCACGAACCGCAAGCTCGAGCCTTCCGCCCCAAGAGGCCGCCAGGAGGCCCCAAGGAGGCCCCTCAAGAGGCCCCAGGAGACCCCCAAGAGGCCCAAAGGAGGCCCCGAGAAGCCCCAAATCGGCCCCAAACGGGAAACGAAACGCTGCTGCATCCACACTTCTGGGTATGTATCTTTCTGTGCTGCACTCTTGACCCTACGAGTTGCGGGACCATTCCAGCAGTAGCCTTCGTGCTTTGCAGTGCACGCCCGCGAGACAGCCATTCGCAGGCCCGATGCGGCAGGCATGGCGTCGGGCCGCGAGCGCTCCGAGTTTCACCTCCTGCGAATGCGGCAGGGTGTACGTGGCCGCTGCACTGTCCAAGAGTCGACACAACAAAGCGTTGCTGTTGAGGCTGCGAGTTTCTCGCGCTGGTTTATGAGTGCCAGGGCGCACGAACAAAAAAAAAAAAGAGAGGCCCAAGAAGCAAAAGTCGTGCCATTCCTATGGGACAACGTATATTTTTCGCATGTTCGCCTCTTGGGCTTTCACCGCGTCCAAGACGGCCCAAGAGGCGCCCAAGACCGCCCCAAGACGGCCCAAGAAGCCTTGGAGGAGTATTCCGCGTTTTCCGAGGCGCCTTCCGAGGCGCCTTGGACGACGCACTACGTTTCTATTGATTGTCCTTCTCCTGTGTTCACAATCCTACATGTCTTACGTATGGGTCTACACATATATATATATATATATACACGCACAAACACATACACACTCATATATATATACACAAATACATATTTATGTATATATATATACCTCCCCCAAGCCCTCCCGAGTCGTGCCACTTCCTTCCACGTATTTCACATCTTCCCCATATATAGAGGCCCCCAAGATGTCCATCAATGGCCCTGAGCGCGCCCCAAGACGCCTCCAGGAGAGCCCAGCAGGCCTCCGAGAGGCCCCCAAGAGGCCCACTGGAGGCCCTCAGAAGGTCGTCCGCATCATGTTCCCCGAAGGCGGTCCGGGAACATGATTCCGCGCCTTGGAGGAGTATTCTGCGCTTTCCGAGGCGCCTTCCGAGGCGCCTTGGACGACGTACCTGTGTTTATATAGATTGTCCTTCTCCTGTGTACACAGTCCTACATGTCTTACGTACGGGTCTATATATATGTATAAATAAATAAATAATGTATATATATATATATATATATACAGACCTCCGAGAGGCCCCCAAGAGGCCCACTGGAGGCCCTCAGAAGGTCGTCCCCGTCATGTTCCCGGAAGGCGGTCCGGGAACATGATTCCGCGCCTTGGAGGAGTATTCTGCGCTTTCCGAGGCGCCTTCCGAGGCGCCTTGGACGACGCACTTGTGTTTATATAGATTGTCCTTCTCCTGTGTACACAGTCCTACATGTCTTACGTATGGGTCTATATATAATGTAAATACATACACACACACATATATATATATATATATATACAAGTGGCACGTGTGTGCCCAGGCTCATACAAAAAACTGAAGGGGCGTTTGAAGCAGGAGTGAAATGCAACATCGAAGTCGCACTCGAGCGCAAGTGGGGTTGCCACACCTTGCGATGTGTGTACCAGGACCCCCCAGGAAGCCTCAGGAGGCCCGACTTGGATACCAGAAGAGGCTCCAGGAGGCCCCAGGATTGTGAGTGGTGTGCGTGTGTGTCTGTGTGTGTGATGTATGCTTTGTGTGGTGCGTGCTTTTTGTGTGTTGTAGGTGTTGTGTGTGTGTGTTATGTTTGTCTAGCGTGTGATGTGTTGGGCGTGATTTGTGTCTCTGTGTGCATGTAGTTCTGAAGCCCCAGGAGGCCCCAGGAAGCCCCAGGCGGCCTCAGGAGGCCCCAGGAGACCCCATGGCCTTTTCTGGCCTTCCTGGATGTTCTCGTCGAGGCCCCTTCGGCCGTCCTGGAGGCCTTGGGCCGTCCTGGACGATCGTGGGGTCATCTTGGCCGAGGTGTTGGTGATTTTCGACGCAAGGGTGTGTCATCCATTCGACCCGTTGCTGCCTTTTGGGGGTGCGATCTTTACGAACGAGTGCCTGACAATTGACAGTGTGTCCTCTGCGTATCGTATTGGTCGAGAGGAAACTTGCCTGCGAACGACCACTCGGCGCGCGGGTTGTTTGTAAAACCGCCCAGACTCGCATGCTGCATGGCTTTTGTGCCAGAGAGGAGGCGCGCATCGATGACGCTGGCTACCAACCGCGGGCTAATGTCCGTGAGGCCAGTCGAGGTGTGCAGCACTGGCGCGGGGTCCTCTGCACTATGGTTTCGGCGTAGGTCGCGAGCACGAGGCGCTCGACAACATATGTACATAATGTTCGGGGTGAAGGTCGGCACTTGTATAAACGTGCGGCTTCCACTTTCTCACGATTCTGCCAGTCTCGCTATTTCTGTCGCCTTTCATGGACAACAAATCATCAGCGTCATCATCAGCATCATCGTCGTGGTCATCGTCATCATCTTCATCCTCGTTGTCTCGTCATCGTGATCGCGATCGTGATCGTCATCACCATCATCATCATCATCACCATTATCATCATCACCATCATTATAATCGCCAGCTGCTGCTGCAGCATCATCACCACCATCATCATCATTATCCTGATCATCATCATTAGCTGCAACATCGTCGCCATCTGCTTCAGGCACACACGCACACCGTAAGCATACGGTACACCCCCCGCCCGCCCGCCAGGCACACATCCCGCACGCACACTGCACACTGCACACAACACAACACACCACAACACAGGCTAGTACAGCACATCGCAGCACAGCACAACACAACACACCATACCACACCACACCACAACACAACACAAACCAACACACCACATCACAACACAACACAAACACCAAAACACACACACGCACACGCACACGCATACGCACACGCACACGCACAACACAACGCACGACACATACCACACAACACACAACACAACACACAACACACAAGACACAACACACAGCACACAGCACACAACGCACACCATACAACACTCACCTCACACCACACAACACACACAACTCACAACACACGCAACACACAGCACACAA